TTTCTGACCCTGCTTTTCCCACTAGTCTGGGGCTGGCTGACTGGAGGCCCCTCTGAGAGAAGCCAGAGTCCAAAATCAAGGTGTCCGCAGAGCTACTTTGCCAGAGATTTGGTCTCAGGATCTGGAGTGGTCACTCTCCCCTTACCGACCGAGGTTGTGCCCTCTGAATTGTCCTTTGAAAGCTTCTCCCTGTCCCCACCCCGCCCTACTCTATTGATAAGGACAAGGTGGCAGAGGTCCTGTGCCCCAGGTTGGGTATTTCCAGGTGATTCAGAAAAAAAAGTGATGGATGCCCCAATGGTCTACACAGGAAAGGAGGATTTCTGGCACCTCCGGTCACATTTGGAGCCGGAAGGGACCCGAAGAGAGCCTCTCCTCACCCCAGCCACACAGATGAGGAAACCGAGGTCCAAGACAAAGACATGATTTCCTCACTGTAACAGAAAGGCAGGCCATGGCCAAGGACCTCATGCTCTGGGCCCTTCTTAGGGTTCTGGGGTCCCACTCAGAAGGGAGGACTCAGATCAGGAAATGCAGGTGGGCTCCCCAGAGGCAGGGCCTCTATTCAGGTGATTTAACTGGAGAGGCTCCGGAAGGAGGCAGCTGAAGCAGGGAGCTAATGCAGATGTGGTCTCCGCTAGAGTGAGCCCCAACCTGATGGCATGGGGGAGGGGAGTTCTGGAACAAGAATAGATCACAGTTAGTCCCACCTGAGGCTTAGGGTCGCCTTTTGTACCACCCTGTGAGTCTGTCATCAGCCAACTTCTGCCCAGGTGGAGGGAGCTTTTATTTGACCACAGAGCTCCTGGGAAGGGACAGCTGTGAGCCATTAGCAGCAACCCTCTGCAGCAGGGGGTCAGATGAGCCTGCAGGAGAGAAGGACAATAAGCTTCTCTCCTCCCCAAAGCCTCGAAGTCACCCCTGGCATTTGCAGCACAGAATACAATGTCTAGGGACAGAGGACTTTCCTCTGCTGCCTCAGTTTCCATGTTCACAAAATGGGCATGCAGACCATGGGGGTGGGGTGCATAGGTTCCCTTCCAAACCTGCCTTTCCAAGCTCCTGGGATTCCACTTCCACCTCACCCCCAAGCTCCCACCACACCACCCCCTGCCCCAGACCCCCGCTTCCCCAGGGAGACTGGAGTGCGGTCTCCACTCAGGCAGCCCCAGGCCCACGGGGAGGGCCAAGGCAACAGTTGCTTGGCTGCCTACGTCCCCGCTGCCTGCCGAGCGGGCCTAGGGAGTCAGTATTTCTTGAAATGTAAGTACCCAGACCACACTGGGTTGTCAGTAAATTCATTATCCCATTACACAGGCCTGAATTATTCAGCGCTCTGAGGCCGCCTCAGGAACGTGCCTGAGCACAGTCGATGCGGGCATTAGTGGGATGGATGGAGTCAGGCCCCGGGCACGGTTGGTGCCAGGGTGACAGATCTGGGTCCAGAGAGGCTGCCGGGTCTGGAAGGCATAAGGGGAATCTCACTAGCAGGGCCTGGGCCCAGGGTTACCCAGGGGTGGGCATGGGGTTCTATACAGAGGCACAGTCCTCCTCATCCCCTGTGCTTTGGGGCCCCACCTGATCAACAGGGCCCAGAAACAGAAGATGTAATTTCTGCCTCCTCCTGGCTCTGTGACCTCCAGCGGGGGGTTCACCTCTCTGTGCCTGTTTCTTCATGTGTAAAAGGCAGCCATGATGCCAAATCCTCCCAGTAACCACGCTCCCTTTTAACGTTAATGATAGTACTGATTTTTCACTGAGCACATAATTACTAGAATAAAGACTGTTGGCTAAAGTGTGACCAGGTGACGAGGTGCTGGTCAAAAGAATACAAGGAGGCCTATCTGTGGAGACTCTCAGGAAAATCTTCAGTTTCCTGAAAGGAAGGGAGTGAGTGAGTCCTGTTTTGTCCTGTTCTTTCCCCTGAAAACAAGAGTAAGGTGATAATGGTTGGAGCTCAAGCAGCTATCTTGCTCAATGAGGAGAAGTCACATGAGGAGGATTTCCTTCAGAATAGTGCAGGGTTTAGTACTTCAAGCCCTGAAACCAGAAGACCTAGGTTCAAATCCCTACTCTGTCATTTGTAGGCTGTGCAATTTGAGACGGGTTGCTGAATCTCTAAGCAACCCTGAAGATACTTCAGCTTTCCCATTTAGAAGATGGAGATAAAAATGGTACCTCTCCTTGCACAGGGTTGGTGTGAGGATTGATTGAGTTAATATGAAGCCATAAGAAGTGACTGACACAGATAAGTGTTATATAAACTTAGCTGCTATTATCCCCTTTCCACATACCTGGCGGGATTCCCTGTATAACTCAGGAACCTGACCAACCCCTGGGTCTCCCATAGTTTCCCCTTAGTCTGGATTTTCCCTCGGGGTGACTGCTCTTGGACAGAAACGTCAGGGAGCATTCTGAGCTTCAACCAGGATGTGAACAGCTTCCTCTGGGGAAGAGATACCCACACCCCAAGCCAGTGGGAGGCAGAGACTGGGCGCCCAGGTCAGAGTCGAAACAAGGAACTGCTCTCTGAGATCCAGGTGAGGGTGCTAGGAAGAGAGCAAGAGAAATGAAGGCCCCTGACTTGGTGTGCATCCTGAGCAGCTATGGCTCCTCTCTGAGCCTCTGAGAAGCGAATCAAATGGAGATTCCAGCAGCCAAGAGGCCAGGGAGGCAAATGAAGTTTGTTGGTTCTGGGCAATGGAGGATGCTGGGGACTAGGGCCAGGGAACCTGACCCGCCCGAGAGGGGAGGGTACCACGCAGCCCCAGCCAACCTGCCGTGCAGCAAAGCAGGCTCCCCACGGGCAAATCTTCCACTTTTGCAGAATGGAAGTCCATCTGAAGTCTTTGTGCCATCTTCTGCTGGTTTAGAGCTGGCTCCATTAAAACAAAACACGGAGCAAGGCAAACAGCACATGTCCCCAGGCCAGCTAGGGGGCTGCCAGATGTGAACAAGAGCTGAGAGGTCTCCGCCCAGGGGAGTCGGAACCCTGCAGTGCAGGGCTGGGGCCTCCCTGGGGAAAATGGGTACATGCTGAGTGTGGGGGTGACCCGGAGGAAAGGGGGACAGGAGGTGCCACTGAGGGAGCTGGGGTTCGTCCTTCCCTGGGAGGCGGGAAGCACCCTTCCTTGCCTGGGCTCAGGGTGGCAGTGGGGTGAGGGGACAGGAGGTCTGTCCTGTAGCCTTTGGCCCTAGTCTGACTATCTGAACTTCAGGCTCTTCCTCTAAGAATCAAATTGGGAAGATTTGTGCTTCTTCGTTGCCACCCAGTGTTGGTGGGAGGCAAGTCTTTCTCCCTCCTGAGATCCTGCCTGACAGGGACCGAGGGTACTTGGTCCTGACTCTTTACTCTCCCCACATCTTTGCCTCGTGGCCCTGCAGGCCTCCCCCAGGCCGGGGTGGTCTACACATACCGACCTCCGACCTCCGTGCTTGGGGCCTGGCCCATGGAACCTCAGCAGGCTGACGGGCAGGGGCTGTGGCTGGCCTCTTGCACCTGTACCGTCCACTGAGAAAGAGCAGCCCAGGTGGCCAATGGTTGCAGAAAGATCTGGACCCACAGCTCCAGCAGAGCCACCCCAGCTGACCCACTGCACCCGGAACAAGAAAGTAAATGGTGATGGGAGCCACTGCAATCTGCCGCAGAACCCCGATCGGTGTGCCCAGAGGACACCGGCTGCCCCGGCCCCGTTCCCAGCTCACTGCACAGAAGCGCCCACCCCGTCTGGTCATCCACCGTCCCAGAAGCTCCTGTGCCCCTGGCCCCGAGGCAGACAGAGGGACTCTCCCTGAAACGGCGATCCCCCACTCCAGGTCCCGGAGAGCGGCAGCCGGTCACCCATCCTGGCTGTGAGACCTGGGTGCGTCACTTCTCCTATCTGATCCTCACCTGCAGGACGTGGGGGTGGCACCCAGCTCAAAGGGGATCGGAAAAGGTCTGGTCTGCAGCAGGGTGAGGGCAGGGTGCCCAGCACTGGCATTTGGACTCCTTAGGTGGGGGAAGGACTGAGCTCCGCATGAGTCTGGGCATGTGGGATGGGGCGTCTCCAATGAAAAATCCTCACACCTGGGCTGGGGATGTGGCTCAAGCGGTAGCGCGTTCGATCCCCAGCACCACATACCAACAAAGATGTTGTGTCCGCCGAGAACTAAAAAATAAATATTAAAAAAAAAAAATTCTCTCTCTCTCTCTCTCCTTCTCTCTCTCTCTCTCTCCTCACCCTCTCTTTAAAAAAAAAAAAAATTCTAAAAAAAAAAAAAAAAGAAAAAAAAGAAAAATCCTCACACCTGAAGGGAAGGAGCCACCTCCACCCAACTCCCCAGAGGCCACAGTTGAAAGTGCAGCGGGAAACCTGTCACTGTAGCCTAAAGGAAACACAAACAGGGTTACTCAACACCAAATTGCTCCTGTGTTTGGCAGTCTATATCAGTTCATACAGTTTTGAGCTTCAACTAAAAAATTGAAAATAATAATAATAGTTAATTGCTACTTAAACACAAAGGTCTCCATCTTCTCACATAACAAGGAGCCTGGAGGTCGCTAATGTTGGTTCAGGGCTCAACGATATCTACAAGGACCAACACTCCATCCTTCTTCTCACCGCCCTCACTTTTTAGTTTTTTTATCCTTAGTCTTGTTGCCTCATGGCCACAAAATGGCTGCTGTGGCTCTAAATAGTTCATTTTTACACAACCTCATTCAAGGTAAGAAGGGACTAAAGAGGGGAAAGGAGTTTCTTGTTATCAGAAAGTGTCCTGGGAAGCACCTCTTTATCTATGGCCAGAAATGTGCCACATGGCCAACTTAATAGCAAGGGACACTAAGAATGCAGATATCTTGGGGAAAAGACAGGGATGGTTATGACAGCCTGCAACTAATCACAGTTTATCCCCCAGATTTGGGTAGGTTGCTGTCTGAACAATATGAGGCTTCCATTGTTGTCAAGGCAGGAGAAGGGCAGGCTCTAAGGTAAACTTTAATGTTGTTGGCTAGAAGTCCAGGAATCCAAGTCACACAGAGGACAGTGCGCCAGGCAGGGCTCTTCATTATAAACCACAGAAGCCACCTTGTGGCAAACAGCAGATTCCACTTTATGGCAAACACCAGAATTCACTGTGTGGCAAATAGCTAATTCTACTCTGCTACAAACAGCAGGCTGTGGGAGGAACCCCACCCAGGGACACCACCAGCCCTGGGTGGAGGCCCACCACACCATGCCACACGGGCGCCAGAGCATCAATATCATGCATCTGATTGGCAGAAGCCAGGTCATGTGCCTGCAAGGCAGTCTGGGTAGTGTTCATCTTCTCTGGGGGAAGGGGAGACTCATTGTCTAGACCAGGAGCTCAATGTGGAGAGAGAAGAGCTACAGGGAAACCTCACCAATTCTTAAAAGAATTCCATGAGGTCTCAACTACTGGATCAGCCAAAGCATCCAGCAGAAGCAATGACACACAGGAGTGGCTGTGACATGGCAGTCCTGGCCACCATACCCAGTCCAAAAAAGAGAAACAGGAAAGACCACGTATCTCACCTGGCGGGGACTCCCCAGATTACCTGAGCACCAGGCCTGAAATTCAGTCAGCAAAATTGCATCCCATGTAAAATTCTGGTACCTAGTGGTCCTCCCAAGAAAAAGAAATTACTAGATGTGGAGGCACACACCTGTCATCCCGGTGACCCATGAGGCTAAGGCAGGAAGATCCCTGAGTTTAAGGCCAGCCTCAGCAACTCAGGGAGGCCTAAGTGACTTAGCAAGTCCTTGTCTCAAAATAAAAAATGATCACACCTTAGCTCTGTTGCTGGTATTTTCTGGTATGTGAAATTCCAGTTTGCACATCTGGAAAAGGAACACGATGGTAGCTCCTTGAAAGAACTGCTGTGAGGATCATACCCACCAAGTCCCTGAGCGCAGAAGCCTGGAATCAGGTATTTAAGTATCCAATGCCATGGTCTCAGGATGGGGGAGGGGGACCAGGTAGGGGCATTTTAAACCTTGTAACCTTCCAGGAGGCTGTGCCAGCAACAGTCTGGCCCTGTGCTCTCCGACATCGGCATTACTCCTTGGTTGTTAACTTACATGCTAAGGGCACTTTGCAGATGTAACTAAGGTTACTAAACAATCACCTGCAAATAGAGAGGTTATCCTGCTGGGCCCAAGGTAACCACACAAACCCTTAAAAGCCAAAGAGGAAAGCAGAGTAATTTGAGGCACCCAAAAAAATTCAAGGTGCCTTTGCTAGTCTTGAAGATGGAGGGGTTTCATGAGAAGGCACAGAACTCTGGCCAGAGCTGGTGAGCTTGGAGGACGACCCTGGGCCCTGAGAACTGCAGCCCCAGCCGATGCCTTGACTTGAACCTGGAGAATGCCTAAGCAGAGAATCCAGCCTGGCAGCAATTCTGGCCTTCACAAGTGTGAGAGAACACATGTGTGTTGTTTTAAAGTATTAGGTTTGTGGTGATTCATTATGCAGGGCTGGGGTGTGGCTTAGTGGTAGAGCACTTGCCAAGCATGGGCAAGGCCCTGGGTTCAATCCCCAGCACCACAAAATAAAAACAATTAAACCACTAAGTCAGAAGTACCACCCCTGGGTTAATAAGATTTCCATCACCGTGACAAAATACCTGAGAAAAATTAACTGAAAAGGAGGAACTGGGCCTGGTGGCACACACCTATTATCCAAGCTACTCAGGATGCTAAGACAGGAAGATCAGGAGTTTGGGTTTCCTCCTCTTGGGAGGATCAGCAGCAACTTTCCAAGACCTGGGCTACTTTCCAAGACCTGGTCTCAAAAAAAAAAAAAAAAAAAAAGTGAGAGTTAGGATTTATTTATTTATTTTGGGTCATAGTTTCAGAGGTTTCAGTCCATGGTCACTTGGCCCAGTTGCTTTGCACCTGTGGTGGTAAAGTACATCATAACAGCAGAAGCATGTTGGCAGAGCTGGGAAGCAAAGAGAGAAAGGGCTGAATTCCCCATATTCTCAAGGCCACTCCCCAATGACCTAACAGCCTTCCATTAGGCCCCACCTCTTAAAGTGACACCATCTCCCAAAAGCACCACAGACCAGGTACCCAACACATGGGCCTTTGGAAAAATTTAAGATCCACACCCTAACAGTCCCCATTAATTATTTGGTTGAGACACTCTGAGCTCACTCAGAACAAAGTGAACAGTGAAACCAATGTTTGAACCCAAGTCCACCTGCCTCCACAGTCCACGCTCTTGTTTTCCCCTTTGGATTTTCCAAATGAGGAAACTGAGGCCCAGGAGGAATTGTCAGTGTCCACTCCTCAGTATGTAAGCACAGAGAGGTGGGACCAGGCTACGGGCTCTCATCCTCCCCGGCTCATCCGGGGAACCCTGGAAGCCTCTGAACTGGCAATTTGGTCCCAGGAACCCCTGGATCCCTTAAAGTCTTAGGTTAAAAGGTGCCATTATCTCTGTGGAGCGTGGCAGAAGTCACCCAGATGTGATGAGACTTTAGGCTGAAAGCTTCTCTGTGATGAGACCTAAAGCCACCGAGCCCTGGAGAGCAGCCTGAAGGTGGTGGGCAAAGCTCGCTGCATATGGAGAGGAGCCTGGAGGGCCTGAAGGGAGGAAGGAAGAGAGTTGCTGGGGCAGAACAGGGATGGCCAGCGGGCTCTGAGGGCCTCCTCTCCATGTCCTAACTTCTCTGCTCCATACTCCGCTGAGAGCAAACTGGTGCCCTATGAGCCAGGACAGACACATCTCTCAAAGTGGGATACTATTTGACTGTCATGGTGTTTTAAAAAATCTGAAAGTCTCCCAACGTTTGAAAAGTGTGAGGTTTTACACCAAACACCAGACTTCTAACCCCTCTTGAAGAACCAGAAGCTCTGGCCACACCTGGCCCATCTTCCCACTTGACGGGCAGGGGGAGACGTTAAGTGGCTATAGCAGCTTCCGATGGTACCCGAGCTCCAGAGCAGCAGTCCCCACAGCCCCAAACCCGGCCCTCGCTTGCCTCACCTGCCTGGCTCTGGGGACATCCGAGTTCCAATCCTGGAGGCCCAATTTGATTCTGTAACCTTTCCCTTCTATCCCTGCCCTGCCCAGTCCTGCAAGGCCCTAAAGCAGGGGACCCAGCCTGATGTTAGCAAGGTGGAAGAACTTGGGGGCATTAGGCTAGAAATATAGGGGTCTCCTTCAGACCTCTGTGGACAGCTGTTCCCTTTGACCTAGTTTGGCTAAGAATATCTGAATGTCTTTCTGAATCTATCTGCATCAGTCTCCTGGGTCTTCTCCACTGTCTGGTGGGGGCTTATGGGCATGTATCAAAACCCATTTTTCTCTGCCCTGGGGAGCCTGCCAGTTCTTAGGTACCTCATGGGGCAGCAGCCTTTAGCCAAAAGGGCAAGTGAGAGATGTGGCAAGGCTGCTCCCTCTCCACATGGCCCCATGGGAAAGCCCACCTCCCCTCCACACCACCAGGACCACTGCCTGCCGGGGGAAGCGTCAAACCCCACTTTATCCTCTGCCCCAGCCTCCTAGGAAAAGGCCCTGTAACAGATCCAGAGGCAACACTTTGACTTCATCGTGAGCTGAGAGGCTGGCGCAGCAACGGAAAAGACAAGAAATGAGGAGGAAAGGGGGGAGGGAGGTGGAAAAATTAAATTTTGCGTGATCAGCAAGGTTTCAAACAATCGCTCGCCAACTGAAGTGGGTGCCACGTCTATAAGTCATTCTGTTTTATAGACCATTAGGATCTCCAGAGAGAACCTGCATGGAGACCACTGCTTTTTGTTGAAATTAAAATGTCAGAGAAAAAGAAATAGAACAAAACAGGGAATCTGCAATTAATTACCAGGCCATAAAAATTCAATAATCAGGAGGCAGAGCGGCCGCAGGCCCAGAGGTATCAGAGCCAGCGTAACAAGAATGGAATACATTAATCTTTTCAAATTAGTTTTTTAATCTGACGGGGATATATGGTGACATGCCTCCCCTCCCCTCCTGCTCCCCCCACCTCCACAGCTCCGGCCTGAAGCCAGGCTCCGGGAGGAAGGTTCTGGTGTGAGCTGGGAGCCTGCAAGCCACCCAGACCCCCAGACAGGGCAGAGAGGGCCCCAGCTGAGCCCAGGCCCCGTGCCAGCTCGCCAGGTGGAAGAGCCCAAGAGGTGCCAGAGAAGCCTATTCCCACTGGGTCCCAGGGCCAGAGGAGCTGGACATACATTGGGCCCGAGTTTAGAAAGCAAGAGAGAATCTGGGCATGACTTACAGAGGGGCTGAGCTTTAAGTCTCCATTCCTTCTCTGGAATGATATCCCTGCCCCACAAGATGAGGGTGAATTGTGCCCGGTATCCAGCAGGCACTCAGCAAAGAGTCCCTACTGCTATTTTAACTGCTGTCAGCTCTGGCAACAAGGAGCAGGGAGCATCATCAGGTGGCTATTCAGAGAGCATCTATTTAGCGCCTTCCCTGTTCTCAGGCCTGAGGCAAACAGTGAACGGAAGCTGCAGTCCTCACCTGGGTAATGGGATTCGCAGTAAGGTCAAAGGAACCAGCTGGGCGTGGTGGCACACACTTGTAATCTGGGCGACTCTGGAGGCTGAGGCAGGAGAATCGTAATTGGAGGCCAGACTAGGCAATTTAGTGAGTCCCTCGGCAATTTAGGGAGACCCTGTATAAAAAAAATAAATATATAAAAATAAAAATGTCCTGGGGGTTGGGAGGGGAGGGGAGGGGGGATAGTAGAGGATAGGAAAGGTAGCAGAATACAACAGCCACTAATATGGCATTATGTAAAAATGTGGATGTGTAACCGTAACCGATGTGATTCTGCAATCTGTATTTGGTGTAAAAATGGGAGTTCATAACCCACTTGAATCTAATGTATGAAATATGATATGTCAAGAGCTTTGTAATGTTTTGAACAACCAATAAAAAAAATGTCCTGGGGGATGAGCTCAGTAGTAAAGGGACTCTGGGTTCAATTCCTGTACCAAAATAATAATAATAATAATAATAATAATAATAATAATATTTTTTTTTAATTGGCAGGGTCAACCAGGGCCAATAAGCAGAGAACAAGGAGTTTATTTCTGGAGCAGATCCACAGGCCTGTAGGCTGGTGGCTGGAGGTGCTGGGGAAGGCGTCTGGGGCTGCTGCAAGCCCACCAGCCCCTCAGGCGAACAAGCTCCTCCCCTGCCCCCACCCCCCCACCCGCAGCCGAGTCCGGGGGCAGCTGTTGATTGGTCAGAGTCAGCCCCACCCTGTTTCTCATTGGACGCAGGCTCTCGGCTCCCAGGGCTCCACCCCAAACCTTCAGCGGGTGAGTCTCTGCTAGGCCCAGGAACAGATTCGGATCAAACTGGTGTGCAAGTTTCTGACCTTCCGCCCCAGCCAAGCTGCACTCTCTCGGACCCCACCACCCAACCCATCCGTTAGCCCCCGGTGGAACTCAATACCTGGTCAGGTGGTGTTCTTCAGTGGGCTCCAAAAACAATCACCCCAGGGACTTCTGCAGAGCAGCTCCAGGACGGCCCTCTTCCCTTGGGGCTTTGACGCTTTAAAATATAACATCTAAAGCTAAGTGCCAGGGCCTGTGTAAGTCCTTCAGTTGGGTTTTTTCTCATTGATTGAACTCCCGAGAGGTGGGAACTATTAATAAGTCCACTTTACAGAAGGCAATAGTGAAGCTTCTGCCAGTCTTGTTGTCTCAACACCAGCGTCACTAAGAATATAAACCATGCGTGGTGGTGCATGCTTGCCGACCCCAGCTACTGGGGAGGCTGCGGCAGGAGGATCACCAAGTTTGAGGCCCGTGATGCAACTAAGCAACTGTCTCCAGAAAAAAAGAGAAAGGCTTAAAAAATGCTGGGCATTTAGTTCACTGGTAGAGCACTGCCAGTCTGGCTGGGCACAAAATAACCAAGCAGCCAGGAGGCACTTGTAGGTTCAAACAGGAACTACTTTATTGCCAGAACCCCAGGGAACACTCCAGAACTCCTCCAAAAACCCACGAGAACAAACGGGAACTCCCTAGAACTCAAAAGTAGTGGGCACTGGAGGTAGCAGGAGCCACCCCACTGCCAGTCAGCAGAGGTTTATATATACAACTGAACAGCTGGCATTACTTCTCAACCACTCCTTCTGGCAAAATGCCAGGCGCCATCCCTACCTGGTTGTGGCTCTAAACAGAGCACTTGCCTAATGTGTGAGAGGAGGGCACTGGATTCATTCTCCAGCACTCAAAAAGAAAAATACAGCCCAGGCGCGGTGGCTCACACCAGTAATCTCAGCATTCGGGAAGGTCAGACAGGATTGCAAGTTCAAAGCCAGCCTCAGCTATGGTGAGGCTCTAAGCGAGTCAGTAAGACCCTGTCTCTAATAAAATACAAAATAGGGCTGGGGATGTGGCTCACTGGTCCAGCGCCTCTGAGTTCAATCCCAGACACCAAAAAAAGAAGAAAAAAAAAAAATACAAGTCAGTACTGTGCCTTTCACCTTCCCCAGAGTTTGGCCTATAGTAGGTTTTCAATCCATCAATCAATGGTCAGTAAATATCGTTCCAGCAGAACAACCCAGCAAGGGACCTCACTTACCATTCAGTCACTGTCTCCCCAAAATATCTTTACTCCAGTGATCATAACAGCAGCTGCTATTTATTGAGCACGTACTGTGTGTCAAGCTTTGGAATCTGGTGACTTTTACAGTAAGATTGTGGTTTGTCATTTTACAGAAACAGACTCAGAGATTAACAGGCCAAAGATCACACACTCATGTGTGGCACCCAAGGACAGGATTCCAACCACCAAGGGTATTGTCTCAGCACTCCATTAGCCACCCAACCCCAACGCCACCGCCACCGTATTTCCTAACCAGATCCTTCTTTCCTTTAACTTCTTCCTTTCGACACCTCCACCAGGAGGTCCAGTTTCTTTCTGGGGCTTCTTTATTTGTATCACTTGTATTTGTTACACTTTAGTTACAGTTGCACTACACACACACACACACACACACACACACACTCACACACAAACACACCGACATATGCCCTGCGGCCTCGACAGAAGCGATGGCGAGGAAAAAAGCTGAACGAGTAGGGGCATTAGACGTTAGATCTGTGCTCCGGAAGCAAGGACCACCAAATCTGGTACTTCAGACCCTAGATGCGAGTCCTACTCTCGGCCCCGGCGCAGTTCCACATGAGGCCACCAGATGGTGCCTGCCCGTCTTGAGCGGAGCTTGTAGTTAAGCTATGTAGCCGCCAGGTGGTGCCCGAGGCCACGCTCCGCGGACAAGGCAGGGACAAGGTGGAGCCCAGTCGGCCCCCGCGTCAGAGTCTGGCCTTGGTGGCTTCAGCGCACGTGATCTGCCGCTGTCTCCCACCCGCGCCATGACCCAGCCTGTACCCCGGCTCTCTTTGCCCGCCACGCTGGCCCTGGGCTCGGCCGCGCTGGGCGCCGCTTTCGCCACTGGCCTCTTCCTGGGTGAGCTGGGTCGGGCTGCTGCAGCCCCTGCAGAGCCCAGCGGGCGGGCGGGCGGGCGAGCGGACCGACGCACCCGGAGCGAAAGCGAGGAGCAAAGCCCGCGATTCCGCGCAGAAGGCCGCGGCTCAGGTTGCCCACTGGTGTCCCAGAGCCCCAAGCCCTGATCCTCCCTCTCTCTGGCAGGGAGACGGTGGCCCTCGTGGCGATTCCGGCGACAGCGGCACCTGCTTCCCCCAGAAGACAGTCCCCTGTGGCAGTATCTGCTGAGCCGCTCAATACGGGAGCACCCAGCACTACGGAGCCTGCGTCTGGTCAGTAGCGAAGGGGAGGAGAAAGGGCATCCATCCCCGGCTTGGTGGGTCCCACGTGGCTCTGTGACCTTGGGCTGGGCGGTGGCTCTCTCTGGGCTTCCGGGTACACTCCACCCCTTCCCTCTGGCCCACGCCCACTGCTGCGCCCGCGGCCCCGGGAACTGAGGCGAGGGCAGGTGACTGGCAGGCATGGTGTCACTCTTTCCCCAAACACAGCTGACTCTGGAGCAGCCGCATGGAGATTACATGATGACCTGTGAACAGGCGCAGCTTCTGGCCAACCTGGCACGACTCATCAAGGCCAAGAAGGCGCTGGACCTGGGTAGGGGTGCCAGGCCCCGATTACTGGGGGCCGACGTCACTGGGCTGTCCCCCACCCTGGGCTGAGCTTGTTCATGTCCACATCCCCAGGCACTTTCACTGGCTACTCTGCCCTGGCACTGGCCCTGGCGCTGCCCCCCGCCGGGCGTGTGGTGACCTGCGAGGTGGACGCAGGGCCCCCGGAGCTGGGGCGGCCCCTGTGGAGGAAGGTGAGTGTCCCATACACCTGAAACCGGTCAGTTCCGGGCGAGGGAGCATGCTGGCTCTGACCTCGCCTCTTCCGCAGGCTGAGATGGATCACAAAATCGACCTTCGGCTGAAGCCAGCCCTGGAGACCTTGGGTGAGTCCCGTAGCAGGAAAAGGCCTTTCCATTTAGGAAATGGAGCCACCGAGTGAAAGCTAGTGGCCAGGCCTGCCCAGCGGGCTGAGGGCACTGATATCCCCTCCCTTTGCCAGGCCTCATGGTATTTTGCCACATGCGGTGAACAGGGTCGGTGTCCCAGTGTGGCCGGGCCCAGCCTATCACAACACCTGGCCTGGTTTGGGCAGGGACTTCCGGCCTCCTGGACCTGAGACTCAGGTGCCATCTGCCCCTCTTTCCTGCAAGACGAGCTCCTGGCGGCAGGAGAGGCCAGCACCTTCGACGTGGCCGTGGTGGACGCGGACAAAGAGAACTGCACAGCCTACTATGAGCGATGTCTGCAGCTGCTGCGCCCCGGAGGCATGCTCGCCATCCCTAGAGTAAGGGCTAGACCCGGGTGAAAAGCAAATCCCCTCTCCAGGCTGCCACTTCCCATGGCTCCTGCCTGTGCCCAAAGCACCTTCAAAGTACACTGCAGGTTCCTCCCCTCTCCCCTCAGCCGGTCCCTAGGCATTCCCCTACAGGAGTTCTGAGTCTCCAGCTCTTGCCCTGCCCGCTGCTCAGCACCTCTCTGAGGTCCCGCCTCCACGGCCTGGTTGGCTCCGCCCCTCCACAGGTACTTTGGAACGGAGAGGTGCTACAGCCTCAACAAGGGGACACCGCTGCTGAGAGTGTGCGAAACCTAAATGAGCGCATCCGGCGGGATGCCAGGGTTTACATCAGCCTCCTGCCCTTAGGCGATGGCCTCACCTTGGCCTTCAAGATCTAAGCCTGTGAGCTCAGAGAGGGAACCTGGAACCAGACTTCAGTTTTAAATCCTGTAATAAAGTGGGGCTGGGAATTAAATCCTCCTGAGTTTCCTCCCTATCTGGCACTGTATGGGGGTGGGGAAGTTTCAGCACAAGTAGCCTCTTCAGTGAAAGGGGTCCTTGATGTCTCAGCCCTTCACTTCTTGCAGTAGTTTTAATTGGCTACATGTAGTGCCCAGAGGTCCCAACAACTTAAGCTTACCTACCCCTAACAGGGTCTGAGAGTTGGATTCAAAGTGCATTCCCTCTTGGTCCCATTTCTATGTCTCCATCAGGGACAGGTGAAATTCCTGGCACAGTGCAGCTGGGACTGGTGGGGAGACCTCATCTGGGATCTGTCAGTGTGAAAGGACTTGCAGGGGACCAGCACTGCCACAGGTATTTCTATAAGTTATGCTAGTTCTGTCGGCCATTTGTCCACTTTTTCAGAGAAATATCAGCTCCCCTGCCTTACCTCTGAGAACCTCAAGTTTGGCTTGAATATATACTCTAATGTTCCCCTTTCGTCCTGAAGATGAGGGGACTGCTATCCAAGATGTGAAGCAACAAGCCTGAGGGTAGCAGACCTTCAGTATGACAATTTTAAACACATTTCCTAGACAAAGAGAACTTTAGGTTTTCCAGCATGCTGGTTTAAAGGAGAAGAAAAGGCAGTTAGGCTTTAGGGACCTTCAAGCCAGATTCTTTGCTTCATTCAAATATCCCCAACCCACAGGAAGATCTTGTCTCTAAGACACAAATGAAAGTCAGGTTCTTTCTAATAACTTCAAGGCCTCAGGCAAAAGGGCACTTACAATAGGCTTTGCTGCCACGTGTTAAGACCTGGTGGTGGAATTGCACCTGAAGACTACTAGAAGAAGTTATAGGAGCTGCGTGAACCTGTAACTGCAGATTTTCATAATCTTGATGCTCCAAGGATTTACCTGGCATTCTCCACAATCCTCAGGGTCCTAGATATTACAACTACCCTATTCTCTCTAACTCATAAAAGCTTATTAGGATGCACACAGGTGACCCAGTAACTCAAACCTGTGTGCACTACAGTCCAGATTACTGAACCAGATGAACTTCAACTGCAGCAGAAAGCACAATGATTAGCTGAGGAGCAAAAGATCATTTAGAAGACCAGATTTCCTCCCTGCAGGTCTAGCTTGCACCCCAAGTACAAGTGTTGTTTTCATACCTAGCATGTAGGGACACCTTTTCATTTTCTTATCTAGCAATAGGTCTAACTCAAATTGCAACCTCCAACCTGCTCCCATGCCCATAGGAGGCAGCATGTGTCTGGGGAGACAGCCTTTTGGAGAATCCATCCCTATTTACATGGGCCACTCCGGTGAATTCCTTAGGAAAAACAAGCACAACCTATTTTATCAGCTTTTTCACTGTTGTGACCAAAATACCTGACAAGAATAATTAGAAGAGAAAAAGTTTATTTGGGGGTTCACAGTTTCAGAGGTCTTAAGTCATAGATGGCTGACTACATTCTTTGGGGTCTGAAGTGAGACAAAACATCATGGCCGAAGTGTGTAGGAAAGGAAAACATCTGGGAACATCACACTAGGAAGCAGAGACAGCACTCCTCACCACAACAAAATATAAGCCCCAAAGGCATGCCCCACCTTCTCCAGCTATACCCTACTGGCTATCAAGTTACTAGTCAATGCCTAGCATGGGATTCACTGAATTGGTTAAACCTTTCATAACCCAATCATTTCACCTCTAAACTTTCCTGCATTGTCTCACTTACCAGCTTTTGGGGGACACCTCATATCTAAACCATAACAGACCAAAAAAGGCCTCTTGTCCCTTTTAGTCTCTGTATGGAGAGCTTGCTTGAATTCTATTTTCATCAGATTCTGTCCAACCTGGAAGTTTTTAGCACATCATCATTTCTTGAAATGATGAGTCCCAAAGTACTCCATTGTCTTAATCTGTTCTCTCAAGCTGCAAACTGAGCTTTAGATTTTATACTTCAGATGTGTTCAACAAATTTCCCCTTCTCTTTGGCTTTATCCTTCAAACTAGCACCTCCTATCACAAAACTTGTTCTTTAGACTTTTCCAACCAGAATCACCCATTAACATCAATCATTCATGCCCAGATGAAAGCCAAGAGGATTGCCGTTGATCTCACAGGTTAACACAGCTTTCCAGTCAATGTCGGCCTAGGTGGAAAAGAGTGATGTGATGACTTCCCACTAGGACCCATATTTCCTTTCTCAGACCCTATGCTTATCAATGCTGTCTACACTTTACCTCCCATCCCACTGATTTAGGGGTACAGCACTGGTCACCACATAACCAGTTTCACTAGAAACCAACTAACAAGTAACTATCTGAAGATTTTAAATACAATTCTTGTTTAGATCATCCTTGATCACCTTCTTGTGGGGGAAAAAGCCTGCAGGTCACAACGGAAATATACTGAGGTCAAATCTTCTGATTCCCAGGGGTTTCTTTCAGGTGAATTAAGCTTCCAATTCCGGGACAAGCCCAAACAATAGCTCACAGGGGCACTGGTGTGTATATATAATCTTCCAGCATGATCCCTACATTGTCCTATCCTTGTCACTTTCTCCCACCATTCCTGAGGTTAACAATGAATCAGTGTAATTCTGTACAAACTTAGAAACTGAAGAGTATAACTGTGTATATCCTCTTATTTTATTGTAGTCTCAAAAATCTCTTGGAATTCTAGAGATACAGGACTTGTGGCACAGAGTTAAGAGCAAAATGCTCACCAGAAAAATAAAGAATCAGCTAAATATCAGGGAGATTTGACCCTACCTGGCAAATTTTTAACTGCAAATACTTGGAGCCATTAATTATGTATACTTGTTTTATTCATAATTTGTAATGTTCTGGGATACCAAAAGTAATTCTAATGATGATTGAATTTAACAAAAAAACCTTTACCCTCATCTTAAAACATCCACTGATCCATCTTATTCTATGGCAGTATTCAATGTTAAAAGGAACATAAAAACAAACATGCACACAATTGCACAGTTTTCATAAAGGTCTATTTCATTATTGGTGGGTAGCGCATTTAACAGTTAAATACATTTAAATAATGTATAGGTGACTGCATGACTGCAGCATTGGTAACTAGATAACCAATTCAACTAAAAACCAGCTAACAAGTAACTGTCTAAATATTTAAAATACAGCTCTTGTTCAGATCATCCTTGTTTTGATCACCTTCTTGGGGGGGAAAATGCCTGCTGGTCACAATGGAAATATATTAAGGCCAAATCTGATATCCATTCCCAGAGGTTTCTTTTAGCTGGATTAAGCCTCCAATTCCAGGGCAAGCCCAAGTTTGTGGCCTCCAGCATTAATGCTCTTCCCATCTACCAGAGCCGATAGTGTAAGCTTCACACCTGTAAACAAAGCAAACCACTATGAGGGGCCTGCAACAGTTTACTTTCATAAACCACACAAAGCCTGGCTGTAACTTCCTCAGCCTGCAGTTGAACTACCAGTACCAGCCATCAGAGGGCGCCTGGAAGTATCCAGGTACTGTGAGAGTTGGGTTAGGTTACTATAATGCATCTTACCTTCACGAGATAAGGTTAGCAAATTACAGAACATTAGTTCAAAAGTGTTCTAGAAAATACAATAATGCTCATACTATCTGGACCAAAATATACTGGGGAGACCAAATCATAATTGGACCCTAGAAAGGAAAAAACAATAGAGACTTTTGGGGACAAGTGGGGAGCCTGAACATCGTTTACATCTTAGGTAAATTATAATCTTAGATATGATGATAGTATTATAGTTATGAAGAAAAATATCTTACTCTTAGGCTATACATGTTAGGGTTGTGAATCTACACGTCTGCAAAACACTATTTAAAAGCATGTGCCAGGGCTGGGGATGTGGCTCAAGCGGTAGCACGCTCGCCTGGCATGCGTGCGGCCCAGGTTCGATCCTCAGCCCCACATACAAAGATGTTATGTCTGCCGAAAACTAAAAAATAAATATTAAAATTCTCTCTCTCTTCTCTCTCTTTAAAAAAAAAAAAGCATGTGCCAAAAGGGGGGGGGGTTACATGTACCATGAAAGTGATATATGGCAGTAACTAGTGAATGCAAAGAAAAGGTAGATGGGCATTCATTGTATCATTCTTCTGACTTTTTTTTAAACTAGTCAAAATAAATTTGGGGAGAAAATCCTTATTGGGAGGGGGATAAAAGCTTTAGATCCTTGATAGTGAAATTTTCTAGGACTAGGGGAATCTGAGGAGCAGGCTGAAAATATAGAACTCCCCATCTCAGACTCTGCATTTAAAGAAGCCTTCCCAGGTCAATTAAGTGCATGCTCAAGTTGGAGAAGTCCTGCTATAAAAAACAGCAAGGTACAAAATCCTATGTAAAAGAGTCTACAGAGACAGAGCCAAAACAATGATTGAACTTTGACAAAATGAAAATAAATGTAAGACATCTCAGATACGTTATGAAACTGAACAGGGAATGGATATTAAATAATAAGGAGTCACTGCTGTCTTAAATGTGACAAAAGTATTGTGGTTTAAAGCAGGAGAATGTTATTCTAAGGAGCAAAAGAAAGGAATAATCAATCTTCTATAGGCTTTAAAGATCTGCAAATTAGAAATGAAAATTAACTTTTAAAATACTATCAGGCTCCGGGCTGACGCTGTGGCTCAGTGGTAGAGTAATTGCCTAGCATGTGTGAGGCACTAAGTTAGATTCTCAGCACCACATACAAATAAATGAATAAAATAAAGGTCCACACATCTAAAAAAAATATATTTAAAAAAAATACTATCAAGCTGAGTGTGGTGGCACACAGCTGTAATTTCAGCAACTCAGGAGATGAAGGCAAAGAGTCATGCGGTTTAAGGCCAGTTTTAGCAATTTAGTAAGACCCTCAGTAACTTAACAAGACTTTTTTCAGAAAAAAAGGTAGGTGGGGAGGATGGGGGGTGCTGAGGATGTAGCTCAGTGGTAAAGCACCTGACATGTAGGTTCAACCCCCTATACCAAAAATAACTATAAAAAAATAAAATATTGATGAAACAATCCTACTTTATCAACAATACTTACCAGGCCTCAGAGTCTGAGTGTAGCCCACTCCAATTAAACTAGAGTTGTTGACCTTTGCCTAAAATAAAATTCAAAAATAACTATAAGAAAAAACTTTACATGCAAAGACAAAGCTCCTGTATGTTTCCCTATCATGTAGGTATGAAGAGTTCAACTTGTTAATTCATGTGAGAAAATTTAACATTGTGTACTAAGCCAAATAAAACCCAGATCCACTTAATTCTTGTGCATTCGACTCAAAATCAAATTGTGAGTTGGGCCCAACATCTTGACATCTAATAGGATGTGTCCACAGACCACGAATTGTCCATACAGTGTAAGAACCTAACTACTCTCACATAAACCATGTGGCCAATGAAGCCCACCAGGCTCACTAGAGGTGACACACATCGGTTCTGACATGTAGGGTGTAAAGTTTAATTCTGTGACTTACACACACACACATCACTACTTTCAGGACTCTTCCTAAAACCTTCAAATAGAAATCCTTCCTCCACTGAATCAGACCAAATAATAGCCTATTACTTCACATTCTCACACTTCTCTTTAAACCACTGGGTTCTAGCTGTGTTAACTAGTCTTGTGCCTGAGAGGAGGTTCCAAAAGGCATCTTTTATTAATTCAGGGCCCTGCCTTCCTTGTAGAATCTTAACACTCTAGGATTTAGTCACAGACTTTCAAGGACTGGCAGGAACGCTGGAGAGCAAGATAAGGTAAAGAGAAGCTCCTTCCAGCTCTATTCTCTATTTCCATTAACAGTATCAAGCCATACCCAGAGGCCTATGGCTAAAATGGAAGCACCCTGCCTTGATCTCCAGGTCCTAAGCTGGGCCTAGCCAGGTAACTGTGCTCTTCAGTATTCTGAATATGGTATTATAAAGGTGATTAAACAACCTGTGAGCAAAACAGATTTGGAATAATTTGCTGACTATATGCTTACAATGTGTAACATTGAAACAACACACTATTATCCCAGAATGAAATGATTTAAGTATACAAGCAAAAGTCACCACATAGCATTTATAATCACAACACTATAACCAAGTCTTCAAGGGCCACTACTGACCACGTGAGTTATTTGTCTAAGGAAGACATACCCTCACTAATGACTTGCTTTTACCCAACAGTCTCAGACTGTTGATATAAGTTCCTATTATTTAAAAGTAGGAATCAACCATCCAACTATGACAAGAGGGTTAAGCAATGCTTTCTAGGTGCTTCTGGACTGGAGTGACAGCGGCTCTACTTAAGTGTAAAATGCTAGATGTTTCCAAACTAATTCCCAGCAGTCACTCAATGACACACAGGTCCCAGCTTTCTTCCCATTTTATACCATGAACCACTAGGAGCTTCTGTTGGCTGGCATTCAATCTATGATGGTGCCACAGTCATACAATTGAAGAGAACAGTAATGCAACTCTCAGAGAATAGTGCACTACGAAGTTTTTATTGCTACGGGGCAATTAGAAACAGTGAAGGGGGAAGAAAAGGGGGCAATCATGAACTGCAATTGATTTCCATGCAGGTCTGAGTTTGTCATAAGCCCAACTACTGTGTATAACCATAAACAACTTTAAAAAAGAAGGAAGGTAGGAAGAAAGGCATGGAGGGAGGGAGGGAGGGGAAAGAAAGAGAAAAATATCTGAATCACAGTTTTACCAATGGGAAAAACATTCTGGGTGCTTTTCATTCTCTCTGATCACAACTGGACTAAGATAAAACAAAAATGAGGCTAAAACTTAACTACCTAAATTATTAAAACATACTGTCCTTAGGAATGAAGAGCACTTTACATAACAGAAATATCTTTCATGGATGGCTTAACTTTCTTTCATTCCCAGTACATACAGTACAGGCAGTTCCTGACCTATAAGCAACTTGACACACAGGAACAGCTGCTAACCTGCCTGAAATTGAAGCCAACCCCTCTACACTCTCACAGTGCACTTTCTCCTACCTTAAACCACTGTGGACTGAAGGCATAAACAGCAGAAAAGGACAGGGATAGGGATCAACCATCCCGCTTGGCAAGAGTAAGGAAGTTCTCAAGATGCAGGACTTTTAGGGAAAGGTCTTGGGCAAAGCAAGATATGCTGCACACACTAGACAGGACTGAAATTAAAAGTCATGTGGGTCCAAGTCCTGGCTCCTCTCCCTTTTCCACTCCACCTCCCCCACAACAATAGCTTTATGTCCTTTCCCCTGTCAAGCTTCGGTTTCTTAACCTGCAAAACAGTATGTGTACCAATGACCTTTCAGATCTAATCTGAAGATACTTCATAAACCATAAAAAGATAAAGTTGAAGAAATAATGCTATTATTCCAGCTGGGCACAGGGTTGCACTCCTGTAATTTCAGCAACTCGGGAAGCTAAAACAGGAGGATTGCAAGTTTGAGACTAGCCTCAGTAACTTAGTGAACCCTTGTCTTAAAATATAAAAGGGTTGGAGTATACCTTTGTGAAGAGCATCCCTAAGTTCAATTCCTAATACTGCCAAAACCAAAAAGTACTATTATTCCCCAACACAAATAAGAACTACTCATGGCCCAAAATACTGGTTACCATTAGGCTTAGACAAGCCTGGGGCTCAGGGTTATTATTAACATGAATTCAGCAGCTTTTGAGGTTAAACAAACTTGTGTGGCTTG